AATAATTTACATGCAGTCGAATACAGCTTTGTTGTCAGCTCACCTGTAACAATTGCATAAATGGTAGTGTGGTTTTTATAAGAAAGGGTAATTAATTATCATGCTGATGATAATATAATTACTGTTTTTTGAGCAGCTGCTCTCTGCTGCTGTGTAACATACATCATCTCATTGATTCCCACAGCAGCCCTACAAGGTAGGTATTAGTCTCCTCCTGAAGATGAAATTGAGGCCCAGTCGCACACGCACAAAGTAGTAGGACCACATCTCTAACTCCCTGAAATAAAAGTTCATGCTATTTCCACTGTACTATTAGCATGATGAGAAATGGTCCAAAAAAACAGAATTTGGACAGACTACCCTCAACTATATTGCTAGCTATCATTGATGTTAGTTTTATTTTGTATGGTTATTATACAGTAATAGAATGATTTCAGCCCCATAAAACCTTGAAAAATCAAACCAATTGTGTCTTTTAACATTTCTGGTTTGTGTGTGCATTAATTGCTCCCAGTTTCTAGGCAGGCTGCAGCCTTGAACTATTCACTGTCTGAACTTGCCCTCAAAGACTTCTTCCTCCCCCCCCCTCTCTATCAAGTGACAACCAATGAAAAACCCACAAGCCCGGCAGCTGCAGCTCTGGAAAGCTTCCATCAAAACTGTCATTCCCACATCCCCTTTGAAAATCACGGTTTTTAGAGCTTGCTGTTATCTTCTTGAAGGTCATGACTAGTGCTTGTAACGTTGTAAAACTTCTACACATGCTGTCTGCAAGACCCAAATTCCTTAACTTGAGCTCTGTGCTAACGTACCTACACCAAGATATTTACTGCCCCTCAACTGTTCTATCCTAAATTCTTGCCTTGTAACCTGGAAAGCAAATATTATAGGAGCATTTTAAGTAGTATGAAAACTGGAAAGCTTAATGAATTTCAGGAAGTGTCTTTTTGACAGAGCAGAATTGAATAAAAATCCCTACTATATTGGGAATAAAAGGTAACTCGGCCCTGTTCTTGTCCCTCTAAGTTTTATTCCTTCCATGAGTTGTTTTTAGGAGTCAGAGGTCAGGTATCCAATTTATACCTGGCTCAGAGGAAACAATTTCATTTCTCCTAAATGTGGAAATGTAGTACAAAAGTGGCTGTTTTATGTATGACTGAGTGATACCAAAATCCCATTTTTAGCAGCCTTTTTCTATGTGAATCATGTTATTTAACCCAGATTTCTTTGAAACCACAACCAGACATACAGTATGGATATTTGATTGAAGAAATATGGTTGCTATTGTTCACCCTGCCATGCTTTATTTTGCCTACATTAATGACCCATTAATACACTTAAGAAAAAAAGTGAATTTGCATTATCATCCATTGAAATTGGCAAGACTAGATGCGGTGATTACAAACACAAGACTCCATGAAGAGATGATTTCCTAATCTGTGTATGTCACAACATTGATTTTTCTAGACTATCCCACAAGTATGTCCAGAAATTCAGAGGGTAAAAAAGCTGTAGCCAGGAGACAAGTTATGTGCTAATGCACCACTTATTGTCTGGAGAAAATAAATGCTCATGGCAGCAGTTGGAAGTTATTTGGTCTGTACTTGTTTACAAGTGCAGGCTCTAAAATGTTACCATTCTGATTATGTCCAGACATAATGGAAAGAATTCACTAGCATCTTCACACTTGCTTTAGTAAGGAATGGTAAATCAACATTGATTAAAAGGTTGTCATTTAGTTCCAGTAACCCCAAAACATTCTTTCTGTTACCAGATTCTTTCTGTTGGAGAAAATGATTTGAAGCCTCAAATCCCATCTGAATTGATTGCTCTTGGTCACTTACATATTTCCTTATCAGGAAAACAGAGCAGACACATTTTTTTAAATCTCATGGAAAATATCTACTATTTAGGTAAGACAGTGAGCTCAGATTTATGTTGGGGAAACTCTCATAATTCAAAAGAGACTTTCTTGAAATAATGTTGATAAAGAATATCAGTGTTAGTTTGCCTAATGGGAAGGAGAGGCATGCTTTATAAGTCAAGACTTTCTGTTAAATAAACAGCCTCAGGAGAATGTCCACTCTCATCAGTACACAGTATATACATACAAATATATCTGTTTAAGGTATTTTTTCCCCCAGAGTAGGTATTTCAGTGACTGCAATTTTTTACTTTCCCATTTTAGTAGTTTGACTATCAAAAAAGAACTTGGATGTCAAGAAAGGCCATCTTCATATATTTCTTCAGTAAAATGATGGTTTGTCTTTCTTCATAGAGCTCTAAGGCCTACTTATTTTACTTTTTAGGGGTTGATCTGATATAATAAATGTATATTCATAATGACTATCCAAATTATTTGTGTTTCAAGTCAGTGCTTTTCAAGGTGACTAGACAGTGATTTGACAGTGAAATCCATGGAGATTTTTAAATCCCTTACACCAAATGTATTGAAAAAAATAGATTCATAAATTATTGAATATTCTGTAAGCCTCTTTTCCTTAAATTTTAAATGAAGAGGCATTCACATGAGCCTTATACTGCCCTCTGTTCCCGATAATCCAAATGCCTTGACTTTTTTCATCCCACCAAACTGGTAAAAGAAATTGAGCCACAAAGGAGGCAGAAATTTATTCCATTTGGTTAAGGGAGTATTTCTTGATTGCCTTGAAATTGTTTCATTATGTGTTTGTTTGTTTGTTTGTTTATGTAGATCATTGTCATACTAGCTTTTGGATAAAATATTTTGTATCATCATTCCTTTTTTCTTCATTTTAGTATTTTATTTATTTAATCCATTATATCAAAATATTGTAATTTCAACCTGTAGTCAGTTTAAAATAACTATTAGTGACATATTTCACATTATCTTTCCAGTAATTCTTTGGAATCTGCTGGTTTTTATACTTAGAGAATATCTTCATATAAAGTAGCAACATTTCAAGGGCTCAGTACCACCTGTAACCAAAGGCTGTGCTGTGGAATGGCACAGCTCTAGAACATGATAGTCTGAGCAGTGTGGGAGGATCGTGGACCTTCGCTGCTACCAGCTTCTCTCAGAAAAACAGAACTAAATCTTAGTTTATAGAACTAAATCTAAACAAATCAGAAAATTATTTGTTCTAACACCCTTAAAACCAAATGACAAATCTAAGAGTATTTTCATATGATTAACATTTGTAAAGCCTCAATTACGTTTATGGGACTAAACTAAATTTCTTGAATTTTGGGTAACCAAAAACAAATAAAATGCTAAGGGAAGATCATGACCATATTCTTCAGAATAATTTTTAGTGACTGCTCCTAAATTTTAGGGAAATATTGAGACTTTTCTACAAAAAGCATGCATACCTTTTACTCAGGAGCTAAACATCTATTAATTTCTTAATTGTGCTGAATAAATGTGAATTGGTTGGACATTTTTCTCACTTCATTAGCTAATACAGGATGCAGAGGAATTATGGTATATATTTATGGGAATGACAGCATTGCCCTATTCCTGTCCTGCATATTTAGAACAGTGTACCCAGGAATTAGAATTCCAGATTATATATGGCATCATCCTATTGGAATTCCAGAAAAAGTAACTGGAGGACTGGACTTCCTATGAACAGAGATCTTTAAACAGCACAGCATTATGTTCATTAGCTTTCCTTTCTGCATGAAGCCCAGGGTATCTAAGAAAATCCTACATAGAACTAGGGCAAGGCTGTCAAGCCACCGGTATGTGGGAATAAATTAGAATATAAACATAAGCTAAAATTTTTTGTACTTTCTACATATTTGAACTTCTTGCATCAAAACTAGTCAGTCAAATAATTTCTTATAACCAATTTGCTTTGCTTTTCAAATTAATGGATACTGTGATCGCAAAAGATTGGAAATAACCTAAATGTACTTCTGTAAGGACTGGTTAATACTTTCAAAAACAAAGACTGGAAGGTCTTTATGTATTGAGATGGGAAGATATCCAAGGTGTTTTGCTAAGTCCAAAAAGCTCAGTACAAAACCATCTCTATTGATTGCTACCATTTGCATATTAGAAAAGGAGGAAAGGATGTACATATACAGATTTGCTGGCATGTGTATAAAAATGTCTCTGAAAAGATACACATGCACACAGAATTGTTTGCCTAAGGAGATAAGAATTTGGTGTTAGGGTAATAAACATCATTAATTTCAGTGTGAATAGATGCTTTAAAAAAATTCCTAAATCTAATACTTACAGAAGAAAATAAGAAATTGTACTTTGCATCCCAGTTTTATTGCTACAGAAACTACTATCCAATAATGGTAATTCCTCAAACACAGAGACAGTCCCAGACCATTCACTGTAATAAGGAAAACCACTATGCATTTTATCTGATTTCACTTTCTCTGATTCACTTATTAACTTGACCTCAAAAAACCGATCAGTATTTGTCTTAAATGTTCTTGGTCACAGGAATATCTACTATGAATGAATACAAGAATCACCTGCTACAGGTACTAAAGAGTTAAAAAGTATAAAGCTGATTTCAGTGGAGTTCTACCAAAATACCAGTTCAGTTTAATACTCCCTAGAAAGAAGAAGGGTAAAACTTATTTCAGATTAGATAGTGTACAATTCAGTATTCTTACAATATGTGCAATACCAGGAGTATCTTAGGAAAGTCCGAAACCAAATAAGATATAGGGAATTTTTAGGAATCCAGTGGAATCTAGAAGAGCATCCACCCTGGACTTGATATTTTAATATATCACTAATATATTTTTTTTCAGTCAAGGTCTCAAGCTTCACTTCAACAGGAATACTAAATGGCACATACTAATTTTTTCCCCTTATGGTTCTCTTTGTAGTTAACAACTTTCTCTGTCAGTCCACATGCATCTTATAAATGGATAAGATAGATAAAATCATTCCAAACTGAATGAATACTCCCTTTTTCTTCATGCATGTGCTAAAGTCAATGAGAAGTACATACCCAAGACAAACTCTGGAACAGGTAACCCTTTCTTACCTCTTACAACATAAAATTCAACAAAGAGAAACTCTTCTCTTTCAGCTTATTTGCATATTTCATGGTTCTCCCATGTAACTCCCTCCTTTAAAAAAAAAGATAATTATTATTCAAATAAAGATGACTCATCCAGCCCATAAATAGTACAGAAAATTCTCTCTTCTGAGAATTATTTGCATCATTCCACTTCATAATACTGCATTTTTATAAGGAAGAGTACACAGATGTGATAGTGGTCTTGGAAACAACTTGAGTAGTGTTAAGAAACATCTGCACATTTTTCCAGCAGCCTGAGTAACTAAGTAGTGATTTGTACAGCCTTCTCTGCATCTATTCTTTCCCCCCTTACTTTTTCCAGCACATCTAAATGATTAATAAACTGAACACTCTTTACTTGCATTCTGACAACCCTGGGGACTGTGAGGGTTGACAATACACACTTCACCCCACTTGTTATCATAAAAGACCTTATTGGATGCCCTATATCTGGGGGGCTGTGACATTTTGAGATGTTGGTGCTGGGAGCTGTATGGGACTCTTCCTGTCATAGTCAAGTTGGTATTTTTTCAGTTCATAGAGGCAGTGGCTGGGTAGGTGTCCCCTCAAGTCTGGATTAGGCACTTAAAGAAGTGATATCTTTGTCTTAGGGAGGAGAGTATAGTCTATCTTAAAAAGTAAAAAGGCAGTTTTAATCCTATTTCAACCATTCTGCTGTGAATTTTGCTGAAAGATCTGTCCTAAAGCATGTCTCTACTGCCAGATCCCAAGTTGCACAGTTACCAAAGCTGACTGTGTATGACCTGTTACATTTTCCGTAGACGGTTGGATGTGATCACAGAGGGCTGATTGCCAAGGTTTTATTTCAACTCAGTTGTAACTAAATGCAAGAAATCACTTACTGACACCTTTATTCTGTCTGCCCCACCCTAAATCACCATTTTGGGGGGAAATTTAAGGATCTGCAAAACGGCTTGCCTGTGTTCCAAGTTAATTTTGAGAATGGCTTTTTATGTCTGGTTTATAGTCTCTTTAGAAAAGCAAAATTATGATGGAAATACTGTTACATCCTAAACTGTAGCAAATGAGCTGTTCCTAAAGATAAATGTACCTTCACGTCTGTGAAACTAAATATTTACTTACCAGATGATTTAGTGTATCTTTGTTCCTTTCCACACTGAGCTTTTTCTTTCTTTGCATCCCTTCATCTTTAAGCTACTTTTTTGTAGCCTTGTTATATCAGTGTTTTGTGATGTTACAAAAAGGCCGAGTGTGAGGTCAAATTTTCCATTACATACCTCAACAGGAATGCCAGGGAACCTAGCCAAACTAAGTCTACAAAAAATAAAAATTACAGGAAAGATGATTCATTAATCAACAATTGCCGTACCAAAAAAATAGAATGAGTTGTATGTATTTGGTTTGAGGAGTGGAGAATGAGTACAGACAGGCCAGCTTTGAAGTATGTCATATCTATATAGCATAGTTTTAGATCTACTAGGGATCTTTTGACTGTAAAATTCAAGGGAAGAAATAACTCATATTGTGCCTTTCTTTCTCTCAACTTTTTCTTCTTTCAAAGTGAAAGTCTATCATATGCTGACCCCAGCTACAATCTGACTTAACAATTAATGGCATGTGAAAGGTGCACTGGAAAGGCACAGCCCGCAGCTCCGGAATGGTGAGGCGAGGGGCCATGCCTGCCTCCCTGCTCTCTGTCACGCGGTCTTTGTCACTCTCTCTTCCTCTCATATAGGTGCCCTTCTGCATCCCTTTCTCTTTCTTGCCATAAATGCAGAATCCTGGTTCCTCCCAAAGCATTGTCAGATGAATAGAAATGCTAAACTTTTGTCTTTGAAGTTAAATATTAAAGTTGCTGCAAAGGGCAAAAATTACAGCATTGAAGGTAAAAAATTATCACTGAAATTAAAAAGAGAGCCCAAGCTCCTAAACAATTACCTGGGCACAGAACTTAGTACCACGAATGTCAAGCTTAATGTGAAGCTTCACTAGTTTGTATTCTAGTGATAAAACAAGCCAGTAATAAATAGTTGGCTCTGTGACCAGCTTATAGTATATATACCATGACTCTGTTATCTAATGTTTTATTAGCTGGCCCATAAGTACTATCATACAATAAAATGTTCAAAACAGTGACCCAGAGTACAAGATCCTTATTCACCTTCTGACTCATCAAAAAAAGATACTGCTTAAGTCCTATATCATGTTACTAAGTGTATTTTATTTTAATTCTTTGAAAGTTGGCACTCCTTTTGTAATCCCGACACTATTAACCAGAATATGTAGTTAATCAAAACAATTCCAACCATGTTAGATGATATTGAATTTACTGAAGATTTTTGTTGCTGTTTATGGAGAACATGAGGGGGAAATGGAGAACAGAATTTTTTTTTTCCCCCTTTGGCCAAGAAGCTGATAACCAAATTGTTATTACCATTTCATCCCCACAAAGGGACAGCAACATGAGAAATAAGCTTTTTAAAGTTCCTAGTAATTGAGTGTTTCTTGTGAGAAGCCAGGACAGTTCAAGAAAAGAAATGGATTGAAAAAGAAGACGAAAGCCAAAGTTCCCAGACCTTGACAACTAGGGCAAATGTAACAAGTTCACATTAATTGTGGAAAAATGTGAAGTCCTGCACTTAGAAGAAAATTCGACTGCATGAACAGAACTAGTGAGACAAGGACCTGTGCTGGTCAGACCCTTCTGTGCTCATCTCTCCTCACCGCCATCCAGGGGCCACTGACAGGCCACCCAGCAGACAATGTTTATAAAGTAATATTGCTGGAGGCAAACATTCTAGGTCTCAGATGGAATCCCAAAGCTCAGAAAGGCTTCTTCCAAGCATTTTCAATAGCCCATTCTTTACCCCTTCCTACCTTGTATGCACTCTACCCTCTGAATATACATATACTCACACCGAGGCGGGTGGAGAGCGGTGGGAAGACACATGCAGAAAACCACATCCAGTAAGTTGTCTTCCCACTAAAAGATTTTGTCTTTTCAAGATCATGCTGCATTTGTTCTTTTCCACTATATTAAAAATTTGTTCCCTTGGTTTTTAAATCTCATTTTGTTCAGTCTTACAGCAGCCTATCAATCTCTAATTTCTCCTTTCTCCCATCCATACTCTTACTTCTTTATTATTACTACTCATGCAAGCCAGTAGATGTTTCTAATATCATATATGCTATGGGAGATGGGGTCCCCTCAATCCCATCATGCTTCCAGACCCCATTACTTCCAACCATCTAACCATCCATCCAGATGATCTATCCACCTGTCCATCCATTTGAGTCAATAAAGACTTTGAGACTTGAGAAATTTACATTCCTGAAGCTAATTGTGATATGCTGGCTTTAATGAACTCTTTTCCTGCTTTGCAAGACTTTGAAAAAGAATGTGCTTTAGAACAAGATAATTTGAGTTGAAATCCTGTGACCTTGAGCAAGTTATTTGCTTCATGTATTCATTTAACAAATATTGATTGAGCATCTTCTATGAGCCAGGTATTGTGGATGCATACAGTTGTTTATAAGACAGATATGTTCTTTCACCTCATCAAGTTTATACTCCAACTGGGGAAGCCAAAGGAGAACAAACACTTAAATACATATTTCAACTGTAGTAAATATAAAGAAGAAACACTGGGGGAATCTGAGTCAAAGGAGCAGAGAAGGCTATTTTGTGAAATAATATTTAAGCTAAGGCTCAAATAATAAGTAGGAGTTAGCCAAGCAAAGAGGGAGTATAAGACCATCACAAGCTGAAGGGAAGTCTGTTCCAAGCCCAAAGTTAGGAAAGAATTTGGTACAAAAGAAGAAGGAGAGAAGACAAGCTAGACTGGATCCCAGTGACTGAGAGGAAAGTGGAAAAATATAGAAGGAGGGAAGCAAAGATTAAGCAGGGCCTTGTTGGCACTGACAAGAATTCTGTCTTTTCAAATAGCAGTGAGTAGCCATTGAAATTTTTTTTGTGGGGGCAAAACATGATCATATTTATGTTTGAATTACTCTGATTATCTCATCACACAGTGGAGGACAGGAGTGGAAAAGGAAACCAGTGAGGCTGATGCTATTCTCCAGGTGAGTCAGTGGAGAAATGGGATGACTTCAAGACAGATTGAGGAGGTAGTTTACAGGACTCAGTAGCTCCCTGGTAGCATTGCAGAAGAGGAAAGTATCACTGATGACTTCCACTTTTCTGACATGAGGTGCTATTTCCTGCCACAAGAGCCTTTGGAGGAGAACCTACCTTGGGGTGGGGAAGTAGATCCCAAGTTCAATTTTGGGCATGTTTGATCTGAGATGCTTGTGATTCATCCAAGTGGAAATGTCATGCAGGTAATTGTAAAAACTGATTTGGAGCTCAGAGGGGTTGTCCAGGCTGGAGATATAAATTGGGTAATAGCTTATAGATGATATTTAAAGCCAAAAGTATGGACAGAATCACCTAGGAAGATTCATGTTTCCAGAATAGGGCCCAGGATGCCTTTCTGAGCCTCACCTATCTCATCTATAACATGGAAGCACTGACCTTTCTGTGCAAGAAGTTTGAGAGGCCTACATACAGCACATACCCCCGTGTCCAGATCATAGTAGGTATTTACATTTGGGAATTGCTATTGTCACTATGTCTGTTAAAATCTTAGCCTCATTCTCTGGATTGAGTTGGCACTGATTGACAGAGAGGAGAGGCAGAAGAGTGAATGAATGCACAAAGATGTAAACACAAGTATACGGGATATGGCTATAAAAAGACACAAACTAGCTTTTATTGTACCAGTGTTTTAGATTTTTTTCCTCATTTTTATTTTCTAGGCAGCCCTCCTTTTGCAAACAAGCTCCTATAGTTCTCCCCTGAAAAATCAGGGGTCTTCATTTTTCTTAAATGGGACTTTTGTACCCAAATGATGTGTGAGGGTGCCACCAGATTAATCATCTTGGCAGGTTCTTGTCATTTTGTTGCCATGGCCATTGATGGATTTGTTAAGAAATATTCTAGCTGTTCTTTTGGTAACATAATTTTTAGGAAGGCAGAGCCTTTACAT